CGCCAGCATCGCCAGCATCGCCAGCACCGCCACCGCCGTCGCCAGGACCAGGGCCAGCAATGACAACAACACCAGCACCCGAACCAGCACGAGCAGCAGCACCGGCAGCAACAACAACAACAACAGCAGCGGAAGCACAAATTTTGAGTGGTCACTTTGCGGAGAGGGAATCGAGGACATGGGTTCGCTTCCAGATAGTTCCGTATTGACATGTTGGACTAAGAAAATGGAGGATGAATGCTCCCAAGAACTTCCGAGCGAGCAGAGCTCTGAGTGTTGGTTTGGTTCCGCACGTTTGGGCTTCCAACTACTCCTCAGTTTTCCAAAATCCCCAGATCGCCGCTGGAGTTTCCTTTGCCACCCCGACTCAGCACTTGAAAGCTTTGTCAGGCTGCCGGGCTCGTTTGAGTGCCAGACGCGGTGCGATGCGCTCGTCACAAAAGATCGCACCGCTGCAGAGGAAGTGCGGGATGAGATTGTGGATTGCTCTGTCACGCTTCAGCACCCATGTGCCTGCGCGGCCACGAGAAGTCAAGGCTTGGCCAGGGGGCCGGCAAGGGACAGAGTGAAGTTCTGCGGTGACTCCCGAAATCTTCAGAAGTTTCCACGAAGCGACAAGGAAGGGCAGTGAATTCTGACAGTCGCAGTTTCTAGGGAAAGGTCCGCTGGCAGAGCTCGACACTGCAGTTTTCGGGTCGACGCAACGAAACAACATGAGAAGCTTTGCTGCAAGCAGCGTGGTTTCCGGTGCTGGATGGATGGTGCGAGTGTGAACCGCAGCGCCTGCGCCAGTCTCAGGTGAACTGCGAGAGAAGGAGAAGGCCAAAAAGCCCCGAAGGCGGCATTCCGGAAGCCTAGGAACTCGGTGGCGCCTGAAATAAACCGCTCGCAGTTCCAACTCGGTCTCTTTTGACAATTAGCCTAGCGTCTTGCAGCTCCGCTCAGCAAAAGCACTCCTGCGATACGGCTGTACTCATTCTTTGCATGTTGCCTGCATGGTGAAATAGAGAGGTTCTACGCTGCCGTTTCGGTACTAGTAGCTGCAGTATTGTGTTTTTCGCACTGCATTTCCTGGTTCAGGCGCGGTGGGGCAAGTGCCAATGTGGAGAAAGGCATCTTTAAGCCGGAATCTTTGATGCGGTTGCCTTCAATTTCGGGTATACTCACCCCAGAGTCGAAGGCTCCAACAGACCACTTTAATCCACTTTGCTCACGAGAGAAGTCGATGCGTCTTCGATTTTGCCGTGGTAGATGAGTGAGGTTGCTCAAGTTTTCTCACCCTGCGCGGGATGTTGAGGACTAGAACGGCAATTGCCTGCACTGAATCTAACTCAAGCCGAAATCAGCCAAGGCCGTATCACTCCGTCAGCGTGCCCAAACATGTCCGGAGCCTACGTAGAACTTTTCGGCGGAGGACTGAGGGACGACACAGAATGACAATTGTAGCTCCTTAAGCCACATGAATGTAATCGACACAGGCAGATCTTCTGCACCATTTTCAAGCCGACAGGCCTGGCTTGTCTCTTGACCTAGCGGAAACCTCCTGCGACTTGGGCCACAGTCGTTGTGATTGAAGCGATACTTTCCATGTGACATCTCTTGCAGAATGTATCTGAGAGACGGACCAAGGTGCCTTGATAAATCATGTGTGCACAGGCCCAAAACGACAGTCATGCTGCGGTCAGTTTCTCAGGTTTAAAATCATAGACAAGGATGGATGACTTGGATCTGTCGATGCAAGGAACATTCCGAACCGGTACTCTCAGGCTGGAGCGTGCCGCTGCACAAGTACACCTTATCGAAGCCAGCATTGAGTCACGTCACACGCGGCTGGAAGGCAAGCCTTCTGCAAGAAATCGACCTGGCCGGGTATCGTGGCGAGCTCCCAAGCCAAGCAGCTCGAACTCGTTGCCCAAACGCACGCGGACCTGAGCATCCATCCTATGCCAAGCTGTGGTCCATGGTCCACTTAATCCTAGGTAACCATATTCATATCATCAGGACCTGTACTTTGGCCTATAGATCTCCAGGCTCAATTCCATTCAAAAACCTTGCTTTGCGGCCGGTGCGCGGCAAGTACATTGTAGGCTCTCTCTCTCTCTCTCTCGCAGTCTCCCTCTCTCTCTCTCTCTCTCTATATATATATATGTATTTATGTATGTACACATACTTATACTGTGTCAACAGCTTGGGCGTCTGGGCTTGGCACCGTTCCGTGTTCAGCTGCAGGACCCCTGCAGGCACACAAGAGTGATAAACCCGCCTTTCCTTTCTGACGCATAGCGTCATGCGGTAGACTGCATTGTCGCAGAGCCGTACGCCCCTGCACTTTGTGTTGGGTTTCTTGCTCGAAGGGACGCACATGCTCACGCCCGCCCGCGCGCGCAGGGACGCATACACGCAGCCACACACGGACACACGGACACACGGACACACGGACAGACAGACAGACAGACAGACAGACAGACAGACAGAGACAGACAGACAGACAGACAGACAGACAGACAGAGAGACAGACAGACAGAGACAGACAGACAGACAGACAGACAGACAGACAGACAGACAGACAGACAGACAGACAGACAGACAGACAGACACACACACACACACAACCACTGTCACAATCTCGTAAGCACAATTGAGAGCGTCCCATTGGTATACCGCTATGGCACCAGCAGGTACCTACGACTTCTTCTACTTGCCCATGGACACTCAGAACAGGAATTTGCTGGCGCGATTTCCGGTGGAAGCCGGTTTGTGGTCACTTGTGAGGACAAACGTCGGATATGCCTTCATCAACTTTCTCACATCGCCCGCCCTGGGCCCATTCGCCGTCCTGGTTTCATATCACACTGCACGGCAGTATCAGCTCGCTTGGTTGTTGGGCATACAGTCCTGCATCAGCATCACCTCTCTCAATGGCGATCTCTAGCTGACATTTCAGCTTGAGGAGGCTGACTGCTGGATCTGAGGACCTGGAGCGATTCATGGTGGAATTCGCCGGCTACCTGTTCCAGAACCACTCAAGCTGGCTTCCCAACCGCTGTTCGGATACTGTGTGCCTGATGTAGTTTTCTCGTTGCGTTCGAGCGTCAATGCGAGGTCAAAAGGTGGCCAGAGTCTCTTTGGCTCACATTCAAGGCTTTATCGAGAACATACGACATTGCTCAAACCGTTCCACACTCAGCTCTGATCCCGACACATCCAAGATACAACCCCGAGAGTAGTTGCAAAGTCTTGCAAAGGTGCTGTGTCTCAATCGCGAAACAGCCAGTACAGGCACAACGGGCAGACAGGATGTCATTCAGCACGTGCCGGCCAGCCCTCCATTGCACAGTGCGCAGCAGCCAGACTCTCTTGGCGAGGCCCATCGTGATTCACCAGGGCGTTCGAATGGACATTTCGGAGGTGCATCCGCACATGCAGCGTTGACGTGTGAGTAATCACCTGCGATGGCTTCTGTCTTGGACTTTTAGGTGCGGAGTTCGCGTAGCGTACGCATGCCGTGTCCGCACAAGTGCTACAACCCTTCCCTGCTCTGAACTCTGAAAATAACACTTCACCTCACGACGCTGCCCCGTGGCCAAAATCAGGGCTAGAGTTTGGGCTGTCCTACTAGCACTTCTGTCCGACAAGGAGTTCTCATGATGCGCGTCGGTTGGGAGCACACCTCGCTGTCAAGCCAGAAATTGAGACAGGGTCCTGCCAACAGCGACCGTTTGCAATGAATGCTGGGGTTTCACGAGTCGACGAACTTCCTTCAAGCGAGGTTGCAATGTAGGGCTCAGATGCACAGGACTCACATAAGAGGCCCGTCACAATACACCCTTGAAAGCAAGCTACTTCAGTTTACCCTTGTCTGGCCGACATCGAGATGAGCCGGAGCTCAGCGCCCGAACAGACCTCACATCAGGAAGCCATTCTACTGTATGTAACGAGCACAATTGTTTAAAGAAGAAAGACGGCGGTTGCGCCGTGGCCTTGCCTTGCTGCAGGCCTACGATTTGTTGTGTTCCGTTCAAGCCGGACAGCCGGGGGCTGAAGCTGCTGCTTTGCTTCGTCTGGCGTGAAGTCTCCCTGCAAATCTGAGCCTCGAACTAAGGTCATCCCAGGCACACAGCCTAGCGTTGCCTTGGCACATGAGCTCAGAATCTCCTGAGCCGACAACAAGTGCTGAGGACGATTCTGCGAAGGTGCCTCTACCCCCAGGTGGCAGCCTGAGCTGTGAAGGGTATGATTTCAATGCCCATTCGTCCCGAGAACCCGTCCCAGAACGCAACCTTGGTTTGTATGGATGCTGGCTAGGAAGTCTGGCAGTTGCTGAACCACCGGGCCTTTCGCCTCTCGGCCTGGTGAAAAGCAGAGACGTCCGATGTTCCTTTCCTGTCCACCTCAAGCTTCGCCTAGGGCCTAGCCAAAAATTCTTGGAAAGACGCAGCTGCAGGGAACCCCTGCCGAGCTCTAGCGCCGGTGTTTGTTGAGTCGTGCTCTAAGGGAGAATCTGCCATCGATCTTGCCACACCTGGCATCTGGGCCCAGCACCAGTGAGGAGAGCAGTTGGAGGTGTGCCACAATGTTTATTTTAAAATTGCCCTATTGCCAGGACTACGCGGAGCGCTACTCTGAGGCCAAGAAAGGCTGACTCAGTGTGAAGAGTTGAAGCTGAGTTGCAGATGCAGATTGCAGTCGCTAAATTGAGACGTTCAAGGAGACCACAGTCTTCCGATACTCTTGGCCTCTTTGTCGCAGGATTCGAGGAGGCTGTGTCTATGCTCCTCAGGCTGGGTGATGCTGCACGGCTACGGCCGGTCCCGCTGCCTGCTCTGATAAACATCAGCTTCCACCGAGACTGGTCCCAGACTGCGTCATACACCTGGCTAGGTCTTCCTGTTCTGGACGCGAGGCAGAGGCGAGAGATGGTCGCAGCACAGCGCAGGATCAGTTAACATGCAGCTTGCGCTAAGGCACTCGAACGACCAGAGCTGCGCGCGACTCAGCCCAGAGTCTGGCAGCGGGCAATGAGAGCCCTTCTTCGGGCTTTGACCTGCTCGAAAGCGCTGGTTCTCATCAGGGTTCTCATTATAGACCCTACAAAGTTGCTAGTCAGTGTCCTGCATTGGTAAGCCAGTCTTCCTGACATGTACACTCTCTTTGTCTGTCAGGGAAACCGAAGTAGATGGCGGTGCTTTATATCGGAAGGTCGTGATGCACAGCTCATGCTAGTCACGAGGCAGGCATTAGCTGGGCCATGCATGCACCCAAGAACTCCCCCCAGTAACAGCCAACTGCAGTGTGCACACTCGGCCAAGCAACCTTCTTGGGCGACAACAGCAAAACTGCTTCCGTGCCAAGTCGAATCAGCACGACACCGATCCCTTTGTGCCTGAACCGGATGAGGGCCCCTCATCAGGTTCAAGCACCATGATCAGGGTTGAGGAAGACGGGGAAGTCTGCTGCGCGGAGGAGTCAACGATAGCTTTGACACGGACCCCTGGTCCAGCTTGAAGAAGAATCAACAGCGGTTGCACCCTCAAGCAGTAGCCAGCCTCGAGGCTTCAGGCACTGCGGTTGGATCCCCGACAAACTTCGGCCTGCCCTGCACCATGACTCTTCCTTGCGCCATATGCTATCCATGTGCAAGCTCCCAACTCATGTTTCCGAGGGAAGACGACGAACGCACGGAAGGATCTCACAGTCAGCCAGGCATGATGGGTCTGAGTGTGGCGGATTCATGCCAATTTTTTGGTAAGAGCACAAAGCCAAATGTCAAAGACGAAGGCACTGCACGAAGGGATCATTTGTGTGCAGGCTCACCCCGGCGCATTTTTCAGGGCCTTGGGCTTATCAGCGCGGCAAACTGCGCAAGGTTTGGAAGCCGATGCACATGGTTTGTCATGACAGGGTCAAAGCATGTCGGGATGTGGAGAAAGACCAAGGTGTGCCTGGCGCAAAGAACATCCCAGTGCCGTTCTTCCTCGAGAGCCCTCAAGGCAATTGCCGTTTGCCTTTGCTTTGAAGGTGCAGAGAGAGTATTGCAGAAAGCCCAGGCGGAGCCGAAGCCAGCGATTTGGCAACACCTCGTACAAACAGGACTGCAGACATTGCAGACCCAGGGCTTCCTGCTTGGCAGTTTCGAGAGTCATGCGCGCTGTCCTTATCGAACCAGCTTGTCGAATGACGGTCCAGCTAGCCGCCAGATTGTCCCAGGGCACGGAGCAGACTTGTTCATCTCCCATGCAGGACTCTGTTCGTCCACGGGCGATTCTCGGCTTGAGTGGGGTGAGTGCATGGACCACAGGTCCCATTTTGCAGGGCCACTGTGCCATGTCGTGTCGTGTACATGGTCGCCCTGCTGGACTGGTCGAGCTGTTGGCCTTCGACCTCCAGCAACTCTTGGCGCAAGGGCCTACGGCGGTCTTAGAACCCCAAAATCACGACCGGGAACCTTTGTTACGCAACTTGGACCTGCAGGAATGGTCGCAGGAATGGTCAGCGGGGGTCACAGCCGGTCGCAGCAAGTAACGAGCTGAAGACCAGCCGGTGCCCTTGCGCAAGTCATACCGAATCCGAGTCCGAAATTTGCATCGATCGGAGTCCGCCTCTTGGAGAGAGTGATCGTGCCGCAGCACTGCAAGTATTTACCGTATAACAGCAAAGGACCTTGTCAAGAGCGTATCCTAGCAGGGAGCAGTGTGCGCTTCTCACTCTTTCATCTCTCATCGTTCTTGAGGGGAAGCTGGCTTGCGGCTCCTCATCGCACGATCCCGAAGCGTTTTCCGACGAAGTTGCGAAGGTAGGTCCTGGTAGGTCTGGTAGATTTTGGTAGATGCACAAAGTTCTCGGACGGATGGGAGGGGGATTGTTGCACAGGGGCTGAGTAAGGGCTCAGCAGCCAGTAGTGCCGGCTGAGTGAAGTAGCACCTTAGAAGCACCACGTACATTCGACGTAAGTTTCTGAGTCGTCTGCCTATGTGCTGGAACGTGTTTATACACCATTACTTGCTGCATCTGGTCACACTCTAGTCTTTTGCGCTCCTTTTCATCAGAAGTGCAGCTCCTGGCCTACTTCGTCGGACGACTCGGGATATGTTTACATCTCCGTGCTGAAACGGCAGTTTCAATTGCCGAAGGAGGCGGTGCCAGGCATGGGAGGCTATGAAGGCTTTCCTTGTGGAGCCTCTAATCTCCTACGCTGGGTGCTCAAATCCAGGATGCCTCTGCGAGGCCTTGTGATTTCCACGACTCGCTGCACGATGTCCCAAGCACCACGACAGGGCGAATAGGGTTGTAAATCATTGTAAGGGACGAGACGCGCTAGTCGGCCACTTTGTACAAGGGCATGGCTGAGCGGTGAGTCAAACAACTCGTTTGTACTGGAGTACACATTCAGAACATACTGTAGGGACGACGTTTTTGCCAGTCACCCTCATAGTTGACAAACTGAGCTGGACCCTAGACTAGGCAACTCATGTTGTGAGACTTGGAACTGGTGCATAGATTCTGCATAGATAGTGAAGCAATACGTGCAGCGAGTACTTTGGGCTAGTCCCTCTGTGACTGCTCGTGGTTTTTGTTTGCTAGTGCCTCGTCTTCGACATACCGTCGCATATACTCAAAATGCTGTACATCGGTCTGCGGCTGGGCTGCGCCTTGCTGGCTCAGGTTCGGAGACCGATCAAGCATTGCGGGGTTTCAGTTGGATCGCATCCCGCACCATCTTCCTTGCAGCGTGCAGAACGTGCCGCTGTACTTCTTCCACATCAGATCCAACCTTTTTGCCGAAGCGAAGTGTACTGAGAAATCTGATATTGCGCAACTTTCCGCTTCCACGGGCGTTCGACATGACCAGCACTGGACATGTTCACAGGCCTCTCTCTTTACTTGAGCAACAGTGTCTGTGGAAGTGCTTGGAGGGATAGGACAGGCCATGGCCCCATGCCTTACAGCCGAGAGTCGCACAGTCTCGCTTTGAAGGTGAACTGAAGCTGTGATTTGAAACACAAATAGCATTGCATGGCCGCTGGCGAAGCTGTGCTCTGCAGACTCGGTCGGCATTGGTGCCGCTGCGCGTTACCAGTAACAGGCAAAACGCAAAGACGCGTGCCTACCGGCTTGCCACGCCTCTGACCGACGGGGCTGGGGGCTGTTTGCATGTGATTCCTCTTGAGGACACTGAAAGGAAACCCGTTTCTGTGTCGGCCTTGTGTGTTCCATGCTACTGGAGATGATATGAGAGACACTGCTAGGCCGCTAGCAGCAATCTGAGGAGTCCTCCTTGGTATGCGCCGTGTTCTGTTCAGCAGTGTACACGCAGGGAGTGTAGGCCTGGTGACACATCGGAGTGTTGCGTGCGCCGACTCAGACAGAGAACTCAGAAGCTATGCAACATTGTGCCGATGCTTGCTGCGGATTGCACAACTTGGGTGCGAGAAACGAAATCAAGACTCCTTGGCTCTACATCGGATGCCACGGACTGTTTTTGGAAAGTTTGATTTGGGATTGTTGCTGGCATGTTTCGAACGCAGCACAGTGCAGCGATGCCGAACTCATCTCCAGTGTCACCACAGCATGCACCCGCTGTGTGGTATCAGAGCGTGAGCCATGGAAATTCCTTTATTCGACGATGGCCCAGCAGATGCATCGATCACCTGGGTCTTTGCCTCAGGAATTGCACAGAATTTAAAGGTGTCATGACCTTTGTTGCATTTACCTGTATTGGTCTGTCTCTTGCGCCCGCGAAACGAAATTCGGCTTCTACCTTCAAGACTTGATATTAGGGGGTTGATCTCGAAGCCCGCGATGCGCTCGGTTGGGCTCTGAAGCAGTTCGAGGCATTTAAGCTGCTGGGCCGGTCAGCTTTGAGGTTTGCTGCCTGACTTGCTGTTCACCTATCTAGCCTCTGAAGGTTTTTACCCGGTTGCTTGGCTTCAGACTTTCAAGGCTGTGGGTCACAAATGATGCAATGTTGGTGCATGGAGAGTGAGAGTTTTGTGTGCATGCTCGAAATGTTGTACACAGGCTCTCCACAGATAGTGACAACAAGCGATTGTCTTCCGAACCAAAGTTCCTGGCTTCAATGGCTACTGTCGCCTTAGTCGCGGGTACATTGTCCCAGCCTTGGTCTAGCATCAATGCGAACGTTTCGACGCATCACGGCGACTTGCTGAGGGCCAGACTGCAGAGACCATCACAATGTCGGTGCTCTGGCATCAATGTCCACCACTGTCCACGGCATGTCTTTCTTTATTATTTTGTGTGTGTGTGTGTGTGCGCGGCGGCCTTTTCGATCAGGTGACTCTGCCGCCGTCATCAAGGACAGCCGGTAATCGCTGTCTTTCACCTTTGAAATCACCTGAGTCCCAGCTTCGAAACTGCGCCCCGGTGCGGCTGCTGGATGGGAAGGCCGCGCGTGAGTTTCAAACCGCGGCGCTTGGTCATTGCTACGACATTGGCAGCTGCTGCGATCTCAGCTTGGGAGCTCTGCGGTTGAATCACGACACCTTGTCGCAGTTCTTCGTCGTAGTTCATCAAGGTTTCCAGTCAGATCGCTATGGAACATGGACTGGGATCAAGGGCGAAGAACACTGGAACTCGAGCTCGAACTGCCACCCAGAGGTTGCACAGGGGTCGACCCACAAGTCCACGAGCACACGAGCACGCTGCTACAATGGTCAACAGGCATAGTTGACAAGAGCCATAGCTTTCATTTTCCTCCCCGACCTTATGATTCGATGCTTTTGGCACAAAGATATGAAAGCTCTGCCTGTTTTCATCGCTGTTTGGCATGTCTGGGGCAGGCCGACAGCGAGGCCGCAGCCGCCGAGGAGGAAATGCTTCTGGACTGCGAGCTTTCTGGCGAGGTGTGTACGCAGGAGCTAAGCCAGCTAAGCGAAGACTCAGTTGCTTGCTGCTGTTTGTTACTAGTGTGGAATGTGATGTCGCCTGAGTCTGCGATGGGTGTAGCTGCTTGTATGTAGCTTTTCAATTTTGGAAAGCACTTGCGGCAGTCCAACTGTTTCTCAGGATTGCCAAGAAGTCTTTCAGGTGTGCAGGGCACAAGTACCTCCCAACAGCGGTGTTGCCAGCGATCGGATGCTGACGCAAACAGTTGCAAACCTACCTTCTGCTATCTTCTACTGGGGCAAGGCCCGCAGTCAGCAGCAGTGGGGGCAAGTCAGGAATGGTGGTTCACGGAAGCTGTTATTCATCACGTCGGAAGGAGAGCTGGTGGAGCTTCAGCGATGGGGTCCTGGTCCTTGAGCTCATGAAAAGACCGTGCGAAGGCAGATAGCTGGCTTCAGTGATGCTTCGGCCCCAGCGGAGTCGCGAATCCATGCTTCCAGGTGAGATGCCGAGCTCCCTGCTATGTTCTTTCCCGTACTGTGGCCGTCCCTGTGCGCCGGAAACTCGCATATTGACATGACAGGTGGTGGCCGTCAGCAGTGCCCGGTGGGAAGCAAGGACCTCCAAGAGAGGTTCCTCGACGGTACCCGATATAGAGATTGGAGAGGCGTCCGATCGACAGATAACAGCACAAATCGACACGGCATGTGTGCCCCATTTCACTCGGCTCCTGACTGGCATGACAGCAAATCCAGACTCAGAGCACTGCTCAATGACCAGCTAAGGCTGCACGGCCAGATCTGCAGAGACTAGATGCAAAAATCGGAGAGCCTGCCTGGCAGTTTTGGCTGTTTCGTCTGTGGTCTTCTGGTGAGTCCAAGCATCCATCCAGCCAGGCAAGTTGTGAAGCCTGGACAGTTCGAAGGCAAAAGCAGCTTTCGATGGTAACCAAGCAAAAGGCTGGCAAAGCCCGGCCGGAGATGGCCTGCGGATCGCCCAACGAAAAAAGAACATGGCGTCATGCCGTCAGGCACGATTGCAGCTCTACTGAGACTTAAGTGCAACAATGATTGACTGATGCTTCCGACTGGTCGTCCTGCCCAATGCAGTTTACTCGGGTCCGTGGGGGAATCCGAGTGTCCTCTGGAAGCCGATGTGGGCAGCCCATGGCGCAGGAGATGTTCAGATGGGACTGTCAGATTCTGGCCACGTTTTTCCATTGCAGGAGACGCCATGGTCCAAGATGCTGGGCTCCGGACAGGCCGACTCCGGAACATCAACGGTCGGACACTCTTCGAGGGCCAGCCTGCAGCGTGCTCCGCGTGCTCCATGCCTGGCCTCCTATTCTTGTTTTTTCTCTTCAGCACGATCAAGTCTCACTGAGACGTTCCGGCATGAGGTCACTGTCCATTCTGCTGACCGCGGCGGAGTCTTTCACTTCTCTCCTTCCCTTGTTGAGTTGTGTTCCGTCCGCGTGCAGGCTTCCTAAGGTTTACATCTGTCTCTCACTTTCAGGTACAAGCTCTTTAACATCAGCCTCTGCTGCTGCATAGCCTTCACGATGAGTGCAAAAACGAAGACGAAGAATTGTGCGTGACTTTGGTGGTCACCAAGCTTTCTTCACTCCCTTTCCACCTTTCCTCACAAGTTGACAAGCTTCGCCTCTTTGTTGTACTATTTGTCTTGTCTTGATTCCTTCCATGCCCTGCCTGTCTACATTTGGACATGTATATCTCCTTCCAGTGGCAGACCATGTGTGGGCGCTTCTCCGCCGAGCTTCTCACCTACAGGTTTGACTTTCCCAGTTCTTTAAAGGCAGTGTGACTTGGCAATCAGATGTCAGGCCGGGAAAAATCCCAAGCAAGACCCAGGATGAGAGCCAAACGGCCGTAGTTTCAAGTTTCAACTGTGGGCAGGTGCATGTCAGGATGTAGTGCAATGGTTGGGTCATGATTGGAGAAAGTGGATGGGCACCAATGGCTCTTCGCCCTACGTGCTGTGTACTTCCGGAGATTCGCTTCCAGATGCAGCATTATTGGAGAGCGAAACATCCCTATGCAATACGCTTGAAGATGATGAACATGTGTAAGCATGCGGTCTTGAGAGTTGGTGAGAGAGGAGACCAGCAAGCCTGCATGCTTCAGAGGTTTGTGGAGAGTAGCTGCCAAGCTCGTGCAGAAAGATGGCGCCAGAGTTCTTCAAAGCTTACTTTGACAGCAGATGGTGCAATAATTGAGTCCGGGGTGGAGATTTGTCTGCAAAGACAGGCGCGATCTTGGGTCCTGGTCGTGGTGGGTGTGCTCATCTTGCTCAGGCCTGCCCGCTCAGAACTGTTGCACAGCAAAAGACTCTTCTGATGCGATATAAAGTGTGCTTGTGGTCCTCCAGTCATTAGCTGCATGTCGTGGGCTTGTGCTGAACTGACTAGTTTAAATACATGTCGAAACGGAAGGGGCGGCGTGCATCAGTAAAACTCCAAGTTAGACTAAAGCTGCTTTCTCTCGGCTCGGGGGGTGTGATTCATGTGTAGATGCGAACTGACAGGCTAGCTACCTGCACCACCATAGCTTCGGGCGCGAGTCATCCACGTACAACTAAAACTGAGGGTCAGGCCTCAATGCTCACGTGAGCAAGCTGCAGACGCACAGCCCTAACTGCCGGATGCGAGCTCGGGAAAACTGTGTCCAGAGCCTGCGTGGTCTTCCGAATCTGTCATGCTCCTTTCGGGTTTCTGTCCCGAAGGCTTCGCTTGATTCTGCTGGCTGCAGCTTTGCCACTGGTGGCATACTGGCTGGAGGCTCGCGTGGAGGATCCTCTTTCGCTTTCCAGTCACCACGCAACGGCCAGGTGAGCTCGCCAAAGGCTGAGGCAGCACGACCAGAGACAGGATGGATCGAATGGCTAAAGCTGTGTTGAGCTTGGAGGAGGAAGCTGCTGAAGAGGACGCCGAGCTCGACGAGTCGGATGAGCAGCTTCATCTTCAGCATCCTGCAAATCAGCTTTTGCTCACCACTGTCAGAGGCTGGGGACCTCTGACTACAGCTTAGGTTAGAACAGGAAGACGAGAACAAGGAGGCCAGGCTACGATTCGAGAGCATGACGCATAGATTTCATGGACAGAGTTCAAGTGATGCAGGATGCCGCAGAAATCTATGACCACGATTTCTGGGCAGAAAAAGTGCAGCCAGAAACCCGGCATGAAGCCATAGTGCACAGCACACTACTGGAGGCATAAAGCAGGCGTTGCTGTTGCTTCCTTTGCCAGAAGAAAGTCTTCACTTGGCTTACTTACTAAGAGAGAAAAAGTGAAATTGTCCCCTGCGGAGTGGGACGGATTGATGCAAGATGCATGGTTGCAGCTTCCAGCGAGCCTGCTTTTGAAACCTATACTCTGCATGAGCAACACCGCAGTCCACCGCAGATGAGGGCATGCTGTGGGCTCTAATCCCACGCTGTTCGTGCGAGCTGCGCTGAGGTCCGACAGCAGAGTGCGGACCTTGGAGCAAAACAAGACCCTGTGTTTCTGCTTGGCCGATGTCAAATACATATTGGCCAGGCACTGGCTGTAGGTTTGTGTTAAGTCAGGGATGTTTAGGTTGGTTGAGGTGAGAGAGTGTGCATCAACAGGAAGGCCAGCCCGAGCTGCATCCCAATCTCAGAGCTATGGTTACAGGGGAATTCTCCAAAATCCGAAGATTTCATAGAACAAGGTCGTCGTGAAAGTTGTGGAGTGCTGACAACAGTCTAGAGCCTAGGATCATTGTTTGGCCTCCTGTGCAGCAAATGGCGCACTCGGAACATGCGAGTCAAAGCTTGGCTTGGGAGATCGAAGCACGGCGTTTTGGCAAGATTGAGCTCAGAGACCCTCAGAGGGTCAGAGGGTTAAGGGCACTAACTCTGGTTTGGGGCAGAGCACAAAACCGTCCGCCCACGCAACGATTCGGCGTCTCCCGACGAATCCAAGTATTGATTCCAGCCCAGCCAAACATTCACAAGCCAGCCGGCACTATTGCTGACACGTGCTTCTCCTTTCATGCTTTCCTCATGTTCCTCCTTCCTTCATTAAAGGCCTTACCTGACTTCCTTCCTTCCCCTTCCTGACAAAGGACTTGGGCTTCTCCTGGGAAGGCCGTGCGAGCTACCGTGCCTTCGGTGGCGCGAAGTCAGCAAATGTGTGGAGGTCGAGACGAGTTGGACGACCTGCTGGACCGGGACCTGGACTCCCACCGCAAAGGCAGCCGAAAGCATCTCTGGTGGACGCAAGTTGGCCAAGCTACCCAAGCTGCGCTTGCGTCTCGTGTTGCCGACGAGCCGTTTACAGATGGTTCTCACATGGAGGAAGGTCAGTTGTGTAGTCTTGCTTGCAGTCTCACATGCAACACTGTATGCCAATAGCTGTGAGACAAGCCTAACAGGTCTGACGCAAAGATAGAGGAAAGCACTGCAGATTCGTACATTCGGTCTGCATGCGTATATGAGCTTGAGATGTAGCACATCTTTATGCCGATTGCATGGAGGCCGGAATCTTGTCTTCGTGCATCAGGGTAGTCGGCGGTCTGGCCAGGCAACACACTTTTTCAGGCGGTTTGCCGAAGAATGAACTCGTGACATTCACTGCTCCCTCGATTCTCGTCTGGCTCTCTTCCTCGCTGTTTAGTCACGCGAGTCACCTCTTCCAAGTAGGAGGCTGCAGAAAAGCATTCATGACAATACAAACTGGCGTCAAGGCATCAGCCTCAAATTTCTACCAGCTGGGACTGGGCCATCTCCACGGCCGGTCCCTCGCAGCGCTGTCACACAAGGTGGTTTCGAAGTTTCACTCCGGACTTCGTATCGGCTCCCTGTCGCCGCCAGCTGCGCTGAGGCGGTGATGTGCGTGCCGCGTATGAGGTTCCTGCACTACGTGTCAGACACCGTGTCAGACTGTCAGATTTCTTTGAGAGATGCGGGACAGGATTTTCGGGAAGCTGCGCGGATAGATCCCACCGATTTCGAAATTTGGCAGAAGTACGAAGAGACGTACAGGCAGGGGCACCACCAGAATGGGGTCCGATCATGCATGTGGACAGCTTTTGCAGGCAAGTTGAGGGTGACATTGCAGAGCAGCCCGGAACTTAGCCAGTGTTCTGACTCTAAGGTCGCTAGACTCCGCTAGACCATGACAAACCCCAGGCACCGGGAGCACAACGTCGACCGCACTGTGCGATCCTTGCGCGCACCTCCAGAGCGCCAGGCAGCACGCAACAGTTGATGGGCGGATTCCGGATGGATATGTGCTGCGTCACGTTGGGTCAGTTGACAGGGACACTGGTCACGGCCCCAGCGTCACCATAACGAACGATCGCCTACCAACGTTGAGATGAAAGCTTGTCCGTCTGTCGCTTCAAAACCTAGCGAAGGAGTTGTTCGGTTGGCGATGGCCCGTATAAAATCATGTGCAGTGCGCAGTGGAGCGGGATGCTGGTTCATGGCAAGTGAGGTTGATGTCTCTTCGTCACCTCTGGTCGATCGGGTGGGTCCGTGGGGTTTGCGAAATGAAGATGCCAAGCCACTGGCAACGTGGCCCCACTCGGACACCAGACACCAAGCGGGAGCCCGAGCCACTCATGCTCCACCTCCCTATGGCCATGCCTAGCTTTCTTTGCAGAGCTTTTGAGATGACTTCTCTAATCTCCCCTAGCAGCTCCTCCGTAACTACATGCAAAAGGAGGACGGCGGTCAGTGTCCATGAATGTCGATTTTTTCCATCTCCAGCTTTTGCCACTTTGCGCTTAGGCTTAGGCAGGAATTTCTGGGCTTGGCTAGACAGACCTGCACCACAGCCCTGGAGGTCAAAGCACCGCGCCACTTCACCTTAAAGGCCAGCGGCAACAGTCGGGACGAATTAACACCCATGGGAATGTAATTAGGGTCGGAGAAGATAGCTTGGAAAATTCTGCACGAGTCATGGAATCGGAGCTTGCGCGGCAGGTCAGCAGGACCTTCTCAGCCTTAGAAGCTGCCGGTGAGGATGTGGACGAGGCTTCGCATGCATTCAGAAGTCGAAGATCAAGTGCAGCTCCTGGTTTCAGGAGAATGCCCGTGCAGTGTTTCTTCGCGGTGGCCGAAAGCCTAGAGAAACCGAGACAGAGTGAGAGAGCTGAAAGATGCGCGACACTCTGTAGCAGTCGGCCGAAAGCACATGCCGATAGTACCACCCCTCATCCCGGACTTTCACTCCGACTCCCTCCGAAAAGGTCCGCAAGAAGCGGGCTAAATGCCCGACGGGCTTGTATGCCCGGGAGAAGAGGAGTTTAGCAGGAGCTGAACGAAGCTTCCCCTTGTCTGTGCTGAAGAAGAGTTTCGCGGGGTCTGGGGCCTTTGTAGTGTGCTCGGAAGCTGGAGCATACCGGTACTCTTTGCCACGCAGGGACTCGAGACCTTTTTGGGGCTGTTTGGGGTATGTAGTGTGGTATGTGGTATGTGCCTTTGCACCCTAGCACTATAGCGCACTGCCCTTCGGTCTAGTCCTTCCAACAGCCTCCTCGTATCTAGGACGTCTTCCTGCAGAACCTCTTCAGATGGAACAGGCCCCCCAAAAAAGGGAGAGAGAGAGCCTAACCCCATGCAAAGCGAAGCAAAGTTACTTGCTGTTATGAGGGTAAACCTGGGCTGAGGCCCCTTCACTTCCTTCTGTGTACATCCAAGCCCCATGGCCTGAGGCTACGGCAGTAGCTCGTGCACCCAACAGCAAGAAAGGGAGAGAGGAGAGAGAAAAGATAGCATAGGGGGTACCAACGCGGGACAATGTCGCAGTGGGAGGAAGTGTGCTGGAAGCTCAGACCAGGCCGAATCCGCTCGCTGTGGCGCTGCTTTGGGGGGAGTGTGGGGGAGTCGTTCAGCAGACCCTCCTCCACGATGACGCCAAAGCGAGGGCCTATGGAGACCTAGGAGATGCTCACTACCGCGGAGCGCAGCTCTCACTGGCACAGACTCCTAGTGGGGTTGACGACGCCGACACAGCCTTGACAAACATGAAGTACCTCCTCCACGATTTCCACAACCTCGAGCTCACCGACCTGCGAAGACGATAGGCGGTAATCACCACTTACGCAGCAGCTTTGGGGGCGATGGAAACCCTGGTAATCCATTGTAGGCAAACCACCATACGTTGGGGAGGTTCATGGACGTCATCGGCTTAGCTGGAGGGGGGCATGAACGAAGACTACGACCGCAGAGAGGCTACCCGAACGCCCCAAGTCAGTGCTCCTCCCACAGGCACTCCACGGTCTCTCGGGGTAGTCGCCCACGTCGGCACTCCACCGCATGTTGTGGGGGCCAACAGAGATGAGTGCCCAACTCTGCGATGAACAAGTTGATACAAGGGGACGTCATCGGGGTCTACATCCAGCAGGACGACCTAGTGAAGGGGCAGCCACTGGAGCCACGTCAGCCGAAGCCCCACCTGATGCGGAGAGTGCCAGTGAGGGCCGGGACCGTCACGAACTGCACACAGCTCCTTCGACAATGGCGGTCACGATTAACCATATAAACCGACCTTTGTTCGTGTTTCGTGTTAGGGGGCTGAGGGGATCCAGCGGGCTGAAGGCTGAGCTGCGCACCTGCCAGAGCCTGGACAGTAAGTTGAACTCTGTTGGTTTTCTGATCAGGCTTCGCTGTTGATGTTCTGGTGTTGCTTTTCCGAGGAAATTCTGGCTCTCTAGCAGTCGGGGAAGCCAAGATCAGGGTGCGGGTGGGCAGGAACGGGCAGTGTCGCGCAAGGTTTTGTTCGGTGTGAGTGGGGGGGAGGTCACGTGGGATTGAGTGCAGAAGGTTTTTTTCACCTTGAGTCGGAGGGAGAGGGGCTACTTTCAGGCAAACCGGAGACGGTCGACCGCACTCAGTGTAAGCTTTAGTTTAGGCACCTGCTTCTTCCCTGGAGCACTTTGCTGTCAACGTCGACGGTCACCCCAAAAGTAGTCCCTTCTGCGAGATGACATGAGTGAAACAGGGCGTGTTGCTGGATCATGGTTTAGAAGTGGTGTCTTCTGGGCGGGATCACACAGGCTCATTCAGGGGAACGCACTCACCACCCCGAAAAGGGGCCATCCTCGAACCGACGCGGACTGCAGGGGTGGGCCTTCGGGCCAGGGGGTAACTCCCCCAAACCCCTTCGGCCCTCGCAAGCAAGCAAGTGAGCAAACCAGAAAGAAAGTCGCCAGTTCACCTTCAGGTGGAGGCAGGTGAGGTGGGTCTCAGAGCAGTCCTGAAGAGGAGTTGAGAAACCCCGGAAGGGCACAGGGCAGGGCCAAGCTCCGGGCGGGTGTCGAGGCCCTCCCCCCTACACTTGCCGTTCTTTGGCAGCCTCGTGGTCCGGAAGAAGGGTGGACTGTGTTGGAGGGGCATGCTTGCTTCATGAGATGTTGTGCCGAGCCTTCATGGGTTTTCACTTCGACAGACCACTAATCTCGGCCGGCCTTCCGAATCTATGTTGCGCGAACAGCTTGCCCTGTCTCTGCTCCAAGGCAGCCTCTTCACGAGTCAGCAAGCCGACGTGGACGTCAAGGCTCGGGGATGTGGGTCATCGGAAGAGCCACAGATGCGCAGTCCTGGAAACTGCAGGATGAAAGCCTGGAGTCGGCAGCCTCAGCTCAACTTCTCAGTCTATAGAGTCTATACAGTCTAGTGCCGGGACGTGCCGGGGTATGCTCATGCACGCATCTGCCATTACCTCCCCAGGGCGGGGGTTTTGGGCAGGGAAGAGGAGAGAGCTAGGCAGCGATGTCCAAACGACAAGTCAAACAGGCAAGCCCGATGGAGGCTTATAGTTTCTCTGTTACTGTTACATTATGTGGCTTTTACCGGCAACGTGTGGAAGGCCGTGCCTGAACCTACAAGGACAAAAGGCGATTTCACCTGGACCTATTTAGATCTGCCATTCCAGTCCAATCCGAAGCTGAAGAAGGCAAGAGCATGGAGCAATTCTAGGGCACTCAGCGATTCCGAGGATGATAGCCACCAGCCCGCGACGATACTTCTTCATCTTGCTGGTGGCAGTCTTAGCGGGAACAGGAAAAATCGTGTCTGATGAAGTCTCTGTGTGAGAGTCAACACAGGCATCCCCCCTCATGCTAGATTGACCGTGCACACCAAAGTCTCTGCTTAGACCCGTGGAAAAGGCTTGCAGATATCAAATCCCCGAAGACATTTCATGGTCTGTCATGGCCGCAATGCTACGGACCTCGGTGACGGGATCGTGTTTTCTGAGCTATCGAAGGCGTGGTCCTTGACCGGGCTCCTCACCGTGTACCATTACCGCTCGTTGGAGGGAGCGAGGCGCGATCACTCCGCAACTTGAACAAGACTTGGAAAGTACATCAAGCGTCATGGAGAGCACCTGAAACCACTGAGGGTAGCTGTCACGAAGACCAACGAACCATTCCTTCTGCAGTCCGGCCCGCTTCTGCGGCTGCTCTGGCAGGAAGATGAATCCCTTGGAGGTGTTTGGATGGGTTGCTCTAGATGCCTCCTCAGCGCACTGAAGCACCACATGTTGCAAGGGAAGTGTCTGAACTGTCTCTGAGGTGCTTGTCATGCTGGTTTATGCCGTTTGGCGGCATCATCAAAGGCTCGCAGCCGTTGTGGCAAAGACTGCTAAGCCAACTCCAACGGGAAAGGGGACTACACCAGGCCGTTCCGTCTTCGAGCGTCGACTCCCCGATTGTTCAATCCTTGGCATTCCTGCTTGCATGCTTGCTTAGCAGAAAGGTCTGATGTCATCAAGATTCTGGCGGTGCTCGTCATTCTGATCTGCGCGTTGTATCACATTGCTCAGACTGCAGAGAAGCAAGCTCCACACGAGCACATGCCTGACCCATGAAAAAAGGGAGCTGAGGGCGATGCAGGCTTGTGAATGGGGTCTTGTCTTCATCTCTGAAAGTGTTCCAGGCTCTCATGAAGTCAAAGAGCACAAAGAGATGCTGGACTTCGACTTCGGTTTAGGTCGGGGGGACTTCGGCCAACGCAATGAAGAGTTTCTGAATTTGTAGAGGCATAGAGCATACGGGCAGGCGGAGACGCGAAGGACAGGGACAAGGGCTTCGGCGACTTTGGTCTAGGCACGCGCTGGCTGAATGAAGAAGCCTTCATTGCTGTGCTACATGGTTCCTCTTCACATCTACATCTACCGAGCGTCCGTGCGTGTGTAGAACACCAACGAAAGCTGCAGAAGCATGAGGCTGGCACGTATGATGATGTCTGTGTGGTTAGAAATGCTACGCAAAGCTCGCGAAGAGTGGCCCTCTGGTGGCTTGTTCCCCAGCTGTGCAGAACTGCTCCACCGGGGATGCAGAACTTCAGTTAGATAGAACGAACTCCGTGGTGCAGCATGCACGCTGCACAGCGACCATCGCAGCTGTGCTCCGCCGGGCAAGTCCAACGGAGCTCAGAAGCAAGAAAGATAGATGACCAGAGTGTACGGCTTCTCCGTGCTGGTACGGAATTATCAACCAAGAAGCATACCATGCCGGTGTTTCCTTGCAGCCCATTCATCCCTCGATCCATCCATGCTTGCTGTTCCAAATGCCATTTATCACATGGCTTTGGAATTAGGGTATCAGAGGCGTCAATCTTGGATGTCGTTACTCACTGTCAGGCTTTGAGAAGGATTTCGGCCACTCGGCACGTTGTGATGTGCGGACCCTATAGGGATTCGGAGAGTCGGAGCGGACCGAGGTTTGGACCGAGAGCCAGACTTTGACTTTGGCCCCAGCCTGGGCAACGGCCGCCCGTCCAAGAGCCGAAGCTGTGCCTCCGGCTGCCTGCTTCAAATTCTGAGGACATAAGGGAAAAGGCAAAGACAGAGATGGAAAGGATTCTCATAAAGGGAAATCCAAGGACCGCTGTCGCGTTTAGGGTCCGTTGTCTCTGGATGGACTTCAGTAATATGATTAGACCTGCAGGAGCACGGCTTTCCATCATGTCCCTCCTCTCGAAGAAAGCCCAGCGACAACTCACCACACGCCTCTGTGAGGAGCCTCGGGAAGCGGACCCAAAGCAGGCCGATTTGTGGCGTCATCACAAAGGCTTTTTGTGGACCGGGTGCTCCAGGTTTGCGAGATCCCGTGTCTCAGGTTTTCGTGGCAAACATCGGGGAAGCTCACGAGGAGAGAATGGACGCTGAGAATGGACGCTTGCGGCGGGGGACGGCGGGACTGCTTTGTTGCGGCAGGACGATCTCCGGAGCTTCTTCGAGGATGCCGGGGAGGTGCGAGCCGAGGGTTTATGCTTTATCTAAGGGGGCGATACTGCCATGTGATGACATCCACCACGTTTACAGCTGCAAGAACTTGATGAGAAGTATAGCAGAGATCGAGGTGAGAAGGTTTTGAAACGGTGGCATTTCACAACTTCTCGAACACCGCCGTCAATTTTTATTGATAAACAACATTATCCACTGCGCAGGTTGAGCGGCTGAAGGTCTTGCGGAACCCGGACGGCGGGTCCAAGGCCACCGGTCCTCTTCTAAACAAGTGCAGCATGGCGCTGTGTGCGCTGCATGAGTTTCGCGTTCAGAGCCCAGCCTGGAGCGGAGGAAGCCCGGCATTTGTGTGTGAAGTGGCTTTCCTTGTCAGTACTGTACAGACTTCGCCGGTTGTCACCTGGCTTCAGCGAGTCAGCATGCATGAACTTACGTCGTGGTTGTCGTGGGCGGTTCTCTTGCATCGACCTACACCTCTTTGATTCGTGCTCGCGTGAAACTGCTACCTAATTATTTACAGCATGGTGTGAGCGCATGTCGTGTGATTGCAGTTGTTTTGATGTCTTTTCTCTGTTTCCCTATGTTATTTCTGTGTCGAACGGCCATGACAGGGATTTTCATGACAAGTGGTGCTTCAATGCAACGCAACTTGAAGCACTGTCGTGTGCAGGGGATCGGCTTCGTGACCTTCCGCACCGAGGAACAGGCCCAGAAGGCAGGTCCGCGGCATCAGTGCAACTGCAACCTCAAAACGGCTTAGCGACGCCATTTCACTAGAGTCGGATGAAATGCGTGACGTGAGTGCACTGCACTTGGTACACGCTTGATTGCTCTTGAGGCTCTCAGCTTTCACAACAGGCCGTTTGAGGGCGGTCATATCGTAGTGCGGTTGGCACACGGAGGACAGGTGCCGGAGCTTGACTTGAGCGGGTGACCTGTTACCACAGCCGTGCACGGAGGAAAGGGCAAAGGAGACCGTGAGAAGGGCGAGAAGGGCGACAAGGGGGAAGGACGCGAGGGACGAGGCTGGCAACTGTGAGGCATCCTGCAAGATCAAATAAACCTAGACGAAGCAGCCTTTCCACTGTTTCTGGGTCTGTGAAGCATTTCAAGTTTAAGCTGAAACGGAGAATTCCAAATACAGTATCGTTCGCAACACTTTTTGCAGTCTCGGACGCATGGTACTGAAGCCCACTCAGACGCAAATGGACGGCACCCGCTTCTCTCTAAAGTGCTTCCTTCCGAGGCGACTTCAGGGGTGATCGTGAGAACCGGGACCGTCCCAAAGGAAAAGGGCGAGGAGGAGGCTTGCCGCCTTGCGGCAACCAGGCTTGAAGTCGAATCGTTGCAGCAGAGGCAAGGGGAAAGTTCCCATGGCAGACGTGGAGGATCTGATCGAGCAGGTCGGAACGCAAATTCGAAGCTCTAACGTCGTAGCCCTGCGCTTTCTACGCTATCTGCAGTCGGGAGACACGCTGCCAGTCTTCCGTGCTTGGAGGCACTAGCTGGCCAAGAAGGCCCGCTCAAGGCTGCGGATTGCTGGGACACTGATGCATTGCTGTCGTCCCTCCAAAGCGAATTTGTTTTGTGCATCATTGATGGTCAGGAGTTCATTAATCACTTTCATGTTGGTGCCGGCAGAGATGCAATTGATGTCGTGGGGTGGCAAACTGAAACAACCTGAATTGAGAACCCGCACAAAAAATCTGAGACATGGTCTTGCACCCGCACAAGGCTTATCCTCCCGCCTTGTTCCGCCCATACCGCCTGTTCCGATGGGAGGTCACGACAGTTGGCAGTTCCTTGAGTAGCTTCCGGGTCAGGTCAGCGACTTTGACTTCACGGCCAAAAAGTTCGTGGCCGAGTGCGAATCTCAGTCGTTTCCCCACGCGCCTGTCTGGGGCCTGAGATGGCCATGCCAAGCCAATCCGAGCCCTGCCCGCTCGCCAGGTTGCACAATCGTGACCGAGCAGATGGCGGGTCGCGGTTTCAGGAGGCAAAATGCCAAGTTCGATCAATCGAATCATTCGCCAAATGGATGTATCCACAGGACAAGAATGGCAAATGTTGTACGATCTTCTAACACACAGGGCCTCACTGCTTCGCCTGTCCACTGGGATGCGTGCCTCCTCATCCTGGGTAGGTTGCTTTGTGCAGGTGAGGGTGATTATCTGTGCAGGTGACAGCAGCCGGCTTGAACATGTTCAAGTCATGACAGCGGTAGGGGGCAATTCAGAAGCTGCTGGCTGGTAGTCCTAACAATGACACGGCAACATGAAATCGCAGAGTGAGTGAGATCGGCCATGGATAGTGGTCAGTTGCTTCTGGAGGCCATGGACATGATTTTGAAGTACACCTCTTCCAAGGACATTCTGGGATTTCTCGCGGCAGCTACACAGCCGGTTGCTGTGCACGTTACATCGACCTTAACTCGCACTTTATGCATTTGGTTGACGAAGGACAGAAGTTCCGTTAGAAAGTGGCCCGCGTACGTGTTCACACTCCTACAAAAGGCCGCGGTGTCAGTTTGCAGGAGTCGACAGCACACATGTGTGGCAAATGCTGGTGCCAGATTTCGGATCGACTTCTGGTTCTACATCAGTGTTTTTGCATCCTGCCAGTTTGATCCAGCGCTCGGCGAAGAGATGCGAGAGAGAGATCAGGACAGCTGCTGCCATGTGCAGTTTGCAAGCACTTGCAGAGTGTCGAAAGTTTTTTTTGTCGCAGGAACGACGCCAAAAGGCAGGAGGATTTACTGTGTAGTGTCAGAACATACAGTTGAACTTGAAAACGGGTTGGCATTCCTGGTGTCCAGGGCTCTGGATTTCGCCGTCCCCGTCCTGCTCATGAGGCACTGACCTCTGACAGCACGCAAGAGCCGGCCTGTGCGTTCGTGCTTTCTTCACTTGTTCATTGTACCTTTTCGTGCAGGAAGAAGATGGCTGAGCGTGTGAACGTGCTTCCACAATGAATCTTGTTCATGGGAGCCGCTGAAGTGCAGCAGCGGCAGCATGTGCAGATGAAGCATCTATGGCCCTAACAAGATAGCTAACCGCGAAGCTGCGTTCGCGTGCCCCATCCGTTCCAGAGGTCTCACTTGAGGTGTCAGCGTAGTAAGGGGCATTAGCAGGACAGGAGTGAAGCTTTAATGTCGACGAAAAAGTCAATCGGGAACACGCGCGGCCGCTCAGATGTGGGGAGGTGCTGAATTGGCCGGAGTGGTGCTACGTACTGTAGTCACCTTTGTTATAAGACTCTTGCATATGACGATATGCATAAATTCTCTAATAAAACGGTGTCGTGCTGGTCGCCTCCGTTTTTTTTGTGCGCGCCCCTGGCCCCTGGAACCACGTCCTTTGGCGCGTTTCCTTTTGAAAGCCTCTTGCGTGCCTGTCTCGCGGTACTAAAATTTCGAAAATTTTAGTACGGGATCAATTTTTTCCCGAGACTTTGGTAGCT